CCTTATACATCCTAAATCCTAAACCCTATAAGCCCTAGCCCTGAACCCTACAACTTAAGCCCTAAGCCCCACAGCCACCCTTCCTCAGGCTCACAACTGGCTCATGAAGCAGCTCTAGATCTTCAAAGGTGGCCTGAGAGTGAGGCCAGTGTGCCACCTGAGCCTTGATGCTCTCAGGGAGTGCCTGCAGGCTTTTAAGATCTTTGCAGATGAGGGCTGCAAAGTGCATCTTTGGCATAGGTTCTGGGGCTGGGAACAGTGCTTTCAAAGATTTCTTGTGCTTGTTCACCAAAGGTGCATTCGCAGCACAGGCCAGACAGTGGGCCTCAAGGTGCATAACTTCAATGCATACATCATTAGCTTGTCTAGGCGTTGTGCAGCAGATGTTTCCTTTTGGGAAGAAGAGTACTGACCCTCTGTGGCACTGCTAGGGGCTGAGTCTAGTGGGGTGTGGCCTATTCAAGGGGCAAAATCTAGAGCCTAGATTGCATTTGGGTCTTAAGTGTAGGTCTGCAGTGGCCAAGATATCAGGCTCAAGACTGGCCTGAAAGTGAGGCAGAAAAAAAATGGGCAGAGTCTTGTTTACTTGAACATGTGCTGTGAATGCATCCAGGAGCCTTTCCCCAAAACCGGGATTTTTCTAGCTTTTTCTAGCTTTTCTTAGCTTTTCTTAGCTTTTCCTAGCTTTTTCTAGCTTTGTCTAGTTTTTTCCAGCTTTTCCTAGCTTTGCATAGGCTACCCTGACTTTTGGGTGCAGGCATGGCAAATTCCATGAAATTCCACAGCATTCGCTTCTCTAAACACATTGACATTCAGCCAAGGATTGAATGATTTGGATGGCAAATCTTATGATTGATATGGCTGATGGTTTTGGGCTATGCTCTGAAGCCTCTTGCCTCCTTCAGAGTGCACACCAAACACCCCAAGTCCCATGAATGGTCCCAGGCTCCCCTTCCCCCGTACACAGCAAATTTCAGCCAAGGACTGGATGATCTGGACGGCAGATATTATGATTCATATGGCTGATGGTTTTGGACTTTTGGATCATGCTATGCAGCCTCTTGCCTTCTTCAGATGTAGGCTACAGTTATCTGTTCATTTAGTTGCACCTCCATGAGGCATGTGGTAACATCAGATGATGATGAGCCTCTATGACTGCAGAGGTGCCTGGCGGTTGCCAGGGTTTACGGTGGGTTGACATCTTCAGGCTTAGGGCTTAGGGTTTAATATGTTTTGGTTTGGGGGGTTTAGGGTTTATGCCTTAAGGTCGAATAGCTTTGGGTCTGAAGGTTTAGGGCCTAGGGCTGAAGGTTGAAGGTCTAAGGGGTGGGGGGGGGGTTAAGTTTCGCGTTGCAGGATTGGTGTCAACGTGAAATTTCCCGGGAAGCAAAAATCTTCAAACGGGCAACTCCAATCCAAGACGTTCAAATTTTGAGGCCTTTTTTCCAAAACTCAACCCCAAATCTTAAACCTCCAAACCCCTAATGCTAAACTGCCACGTTTTGCTGCCACAGGTGTGAGCTTTCTTGGCGACTTTGGGGGAGAAGGCCTGCCACTTGCAAGTGCTCTCCTTCACGGTTTGCCTGGCACATATTCAGAGACCTTGCTTCTGTGCTGAGTGCAACCAGCTGCTCCAGACATGTGCTACTGTTTCCCTTCATCTGGAAAGCTTAAAGTTAAACCTACTGCTTGGTCACTGAAAGGACTGCCATATTATCCCCGGAACCCCTAAACTCTGCACCTTGAACTAACTATACCTGCTATCCTAATGTAGCTTGCCTTGTTTCCCCAAACATGGATGGTGCCTTGGTCATCAGAGAAGATGGTGATTCTGACAATGAACCTGCTGAGAAATTTCCTGTGCCTCATGAGAGCATTTTCCGAATGCCATATTCTGTGGCAACTGTCATGGAGTGGGGCCAGAGAGCATACATTGATCCTAATCAGAAGAAGCCTGAGTGGTTGTTTGGTCGATGTGGGGCTTGCTTCTGACCCTCACAGGATACTCTCAGACTCAGGTGGCAGCTTTTATGGTTTCCTGTCCAGAGTGCAATGTCCCTCAGATCAAGTGCATTACAGAGGGGACAGCCTGAAGAAGCAAGAATCTGGTTGCAAATGGAAAGACCATACCCTGGAATCAAGGGCTTTTCTTGCGTTTCTTATGTGGCTGCTGCAGAACAGACCTGTCATGGCAGCTTGCAAGGCTAAGGCCTTGAAACTTCTGTTGGGCATGATCAGTCTGGCGTTTCTGGCTGCTCTTGCTGGCCAGCCTTCAGTGCAAGTGAGTGTCAATATTATTGGCAAGGATGGCAACCTCATAAATGGTGCTTTGAACTTTTCCAGCCTGGGCCTCTGCCATGGAGATTGGGCCAACCTCTTGCAACATTCTCCAGGTGGCTGCCAAACTTGGGAATGGCTACGAAAAAACATGTGGCTGGGCAGGTGCATAAGTAGTGACATGGCCCAGGCTTCTTTGGATGACATCTTTTTTTTCTTGGGCTGGCTCATGGCACATTCAGGTGCCAAGGCTAAGCTTGGGCAGAAACTGGCAGTGGATATTGCCCAACAGGCCTTACCCCTGCTTCTCCTGTCTGCTGGGCAGTGGATGGATCAACTGGGTTATATGAAGTCAGCAGAACATTTGCAGGCTTTACCAGTGTTGCGAACCAAAGCTGGCAAACTAAGAAAGATGATGGATCCTGTGAACAGGATGCTTCTTCTTTGGAAGCTGAGAAAGGAGAAGGTTCAGAGAAGGAAGGCTGCAGTTACACATGATGACCTGGTGGCTTCAGAAACCAGCTGGGCAAGAAAGGAAGCTCTTGTGGATTGTGTGTTGCACCAGAATGCTCTGCTGTCATTCATGAAGGGCCACCCCAAACAGGTGGCATTGAGCTGGGATCCCAGCAATTATGGAGGCAAAGAAATACTTGTGGTCATGGGCTATTCCAAACATCTACAGAGTGGTTTCTATGCTTTGAACCAGTGGTTGGCTCGAATGAAGCTCAGTGATCTTGATGACAGCCTTATCAAGACAGCCAGGGAGAAAAAACTTGAGAGATTGGAGGGCTACAATGAAATTCGAGGCCTGGGGAAAGCTTTGGAAAGCATTGACATGCATTGGAATGATTTCAGGGTGCCTGCAGGCTTGGTCCTCAGACCTTTGATGGCGCACGAGTACAGGGTTCTGCGTCCAGAGACTGGCAGGGTTTGGATATACAATGAGCAAACACAGGCTGCTGTTCCTGAAGTCCCATTGGACTATTACCTGGGCGACATCCCTGCCTTGATCAGTGCCTGAGCTGGAGGTTAGTGCACTGTTTTGTACAAATAAGTCAACCACCTAAACCCTGAATCCTAGCCTCCCAGCGCCCCCTTGATTTTTCCAAGCTGGCTCTGATTCCTTTCATTGTAGTGCCCAGATGCTGCTGAGGCATCTCAGATCAGGGTCCTATCAATTGGGCGGCGTTGAACTACTTGATGTGGTCTAAGCAAGGCCACATGCTGCTCTGCATCCGGGACCCCTTCCACAGAGCGTGGAATGATTGTAAAAACAGTGCCAAGAAGACAACTTGCAAACTGTGGCGAACTATTTTGGAGCTTTGCTTGCTTTTCAACCTTTCCTATGGCCCCTTTGGCACTTCTCAGTTTCATTATGCAGAAAGAGTCCAGGCTGCATGTTTGTTTTCGGTACAGTGTTTCTGATTTGAGACCAAACCTTCAAGCCCTAAACCTTAAACCAAAAACTCAAGCAGCATTCTGAGTATTTGCTTGGGGAACAGCTTAGGAGCACTTTTGGAGAATTTCCTCTCAACGGAAACGTTTGCTGGTCGAGCTTGGGGGAAGTACCAGAGCCTCATTTGCATGGAAAGGAAAATTGCAGAACCCATGAGAGCTGAAGAGTCCATGGCAATGTTTGGCCAACTGTCTGCCTTGGAGAATTTCGTGAACAAGGGGCCTCTCATCAAATTGATGAAGTGGTTCTCTGTGTTTGAAGGTTGTTGCTCATGGGATGGTGATTTTTTTGCCACCAAACTGATACTGGAGTCGAAAATGCAAGATGTGGGTGCTGAAGGTGACGCTGTGGAAGTTGTTCCTCTGGAGCAGGAGGCCAATCAGCGGCATCCTAAAGAAGATGACAGGGCCCAGTTGAACGCGCTCAAGAAAAGAAAAGGCACTTGGGCACTGGCCCCCGGACTGGTCACGGAGGCATTGATTGCCAAGAAAGATGTCCTGATGTCTGTGGGCAGGGCCATGTGGAAGATGCATGCTGACAGAGCCAGGCGTTTAAAGACACCAGGTGATGTCTCCCAACATTACATCAAAGCAGCTGGGGAGAAACAGTGGGCTGCAGAGCTGGTGGAAATGGTGGCTAACAGCTTGTGGAGGGATGAGACACTGCAGCATTTGCTACCCAGGTGGTGCTTGCATCCAGAGGTCTTGGGGTGGCATGTGGAATTCTTTACACATCTCCTGGAAGGCAGGGCAATGAGCCTGACAGCTTTCTACTGTTTGCCTCCTTTCAAGTATGCCCACTTGCTTTCAGAGGTATATGGAACAGCCAAGACAGCTCATCAGCTTGCTCGAGCTGACTTTGCAGCCTTGCTCAAAGCAGAGGCAGTCCATGCCTTGGGTGAGGAGGTGCCATGTCTGAACT